TTACAGAGAGGGAAATAAGAGAAACTGGACTATTCACATTAGCAAGCAAAAAATGAAATATTTAGGAATTACTCTTACAAAAGAAGTGAAAGACTTATACAGTGAAAATTATAATACACTGAAAAAGGAAATTGAAGATGATCTCAGAAAATGGAAAGACATCCCTTGCTCATGGATAGGAAGAACAAACATTGTGAAAATGGCCATTCTCCCAAAACTGTTATACAGATTCAATATAATCCCAATAGAAATACCATCAACATACCTTATAGATCTAGAGAAATCACTCCTAAATTTCATCTGGAACCAAAAGAGACCTAGAATAGCAAAGGCAATTCTAAGCAGCAAAGACAAAGCAGGAGGCATCACAATCCCTGACTTGAAGTTATACTACAAAGCAACAGTAGTAAAATCAACATGGTATTGGAATCAAAACAGAGCCGAAGATCAGTGGAATAGATTAGAAGATACAACCACAACTACGAACACACTCAACCACCTTATCTTTGATAAAGGAGCCAAGCAGGTTCACTGGAAGAACGACAGTCTCTTTAATAAATGGTGCTGGAAAAACTGGCTCTCCATTTGCCGAAAACTAAAGCTAGACCCATGTCTATCACCATGTACTAAATTAAAATCTAAATGGGTCAAAGATCTGAATATTAAAACAGAAACACTAAATCTATTGGAAGACAAATTAGGTAGAAACCTTGGAGACATAGGAGTAGGTAGAGAATTCATGAACAGGACTCTAACGGCAAGGGAAATACTTCCCAGAATCAATAACTGGGACCACTTCTTATTAAAAAGTTTCTGCATGTCAAAAGAAATCTCCAGCATAGTGAAAAGAAAACCCACAAACTGGGAAAAGATTTTAGTGAACTCTCTCTCAGACAAGGGCCTCTTGTCTAACACATATAAAGAATTAAAGAAACTGAGACCTCCAAAATTCAAAGATCCAATCCAAAAATGGGCATCTGAGATGAATACGCAATTCTCAGATGAAGAAATGCAAATGGCAAATAAATACATGAAAAAATGCTCATCATCATTGGTCATTAGAGAAATGCAAATTAAAACCACACTGAGATACCATCTCACTCCTGAAAGAATGGCCAGGATCAAGAAAACCGACAACAAATGCTGGAGAGGCTGTGGGGAAAAAGGAACTCTCCTGCACTGCTGGTGGGAGTGTAGACTGGTACAGCCTTTGTGGAGATCTGTCTGGAGATTTCTCAAAAAGTTGGGACTGGAAATCCCATTTAATCCAGCTATTCCACTTCTAGACATATTCCCAGAAGAACTGAAAGCATCATACCACAGTGATATATGTGCACCTATGTTTATAGCAGCACAATTTGTAATCGCCAGATCTTGGAAACAACCCAAGTGTCCATCAACTGAGGAATGGATAAAAAAGTTGTGGTATTTCTATACAATGGAGTATTATTCAGCTATAAAGAAGGATCACATTGAGATATTTATCAATAAATGGGCGCAGCTTGAGACCATACTCATAAGTGAAATAAATCAATCTCGCATGTGTGAATACCGAATAGTTTCCCTAATGTAAGTAATGAATCAAATATATAAAAATATGTGGTAATCATGATTCCCCATTAGGTGGCCTTGAAGCCTTATAAAGTTTTCACTCATTAATTAGAAAGGCTTTATTCTGGGCTTCTTGATTTGAAAATATTTGAAGCTAGAGTATATGAAGTTTTATCCAAATATTTCAAGGAAAAAGACACTATGGTAACTACTATTAAGTCAGGTTATATGGTGGTGAAGTACTAGGTTGTTGAAACAGTCATGCTGGGACCTCTATTGTTATATTGTTATGTCCTGTTTTATCTCAATCTCCCCCTTATTGTTTTAAAAAAATTATTTAGTCATTTCTTATGTTTGTCTTAATTAAAGAAAAAATTCAAAAAATTAGGATATATAAATAGTAACTCTTTTTGATTTCCTATTAACTTGTTTTGAAGTCCTGTAGTACTCCCACGATCTTGTTTTGACTGATTAGACTCTGTTCCATTCTATATGATAGTATCAAGTTTGAAGACATAGGCAACTACTTTGAAGACAATAAGATTCACTAAGATACCCATTCTGGTTTGACTATTGTCTTCTTTGGAAGTCCTGTAATGTTTACAATGCCTAAGTTTTATTGGTGTTGTTCTCTACTGTTTTGTCCAACTTTATAATATCTAATGAGATAGACAATTCTTTTTAAGGAAACAAGGGACAACGTTGATAACCATTGTTGAGAAACTTGTACTCTGTTCTACACCATGTGCTATGTCTATCCTTGGTATTGACTGACAGCTTTGTTTTGCCATATTTGACTGTATTCTTTCCCCCCGCAAAAAAAAAGTAATAAGCACTAAGGAGTAATAAAAACCAAAATGTGTAAATTTTGTTGTAAAAAAGAGAGGAAAAAAAAAAAGAAAGAAAAAGAGCTCTAACGGATATAACAGCAAGTGTGTTTAGGGGTGTTAAATAGCTGACTATATCAATGTTTTTGGATCATTGAACACAGCTGTTTGCAGTCTCCCTGTTTGAATGTCCACCTTGTATTCTTTGATACTGTGATTTGAGGAACTATTTTCAAGATGATAATATGTAATCTACTAACAGGTGTTTTCTTACTGTTATGTTTTTTGTTTGTTTGTTTTGGGTTTTTTTTTGTTTTGTTTTGTTTTGTTTTGTAGTTCTGTATTACGTGTACCCTTACACCGCTTTGGTTTGTTTTGTGTTTTTCTCTTTTTCCTCTTAAATAAAAAAAAAAAATAAATAAATAAATAAATAAATAAATAAATAAAAAAGGGTCGGGAATGTAATTCAGAGCAAAGAAAAAACTAATTTTTAAAAAAAAGCTCTGACTCTAAAGCAGAGAACCTCCTACAAGGACAACAGCAGCAGTTGACATTGTAGTAGCTCAAGTGACTGACAATGGTGGCTCAGATTAGAAGACAGTGGTCCTATGAAAAGTGGTCAGAGTCTCTATGAATCTCATATGAATTTTGAAGGTAAGGACAGGTTTTGTTGACAGGTCAGATATGAAATGTGAGAATAAGAGAGAAATCAAAGTTGAATCTATATATATTTAAAATGTAGTTGGCCTAAAAAAAAAACACCATAAAAAAACAGTTCTGGGGAAAAGAAGATAGAATCACATGTCTGAGGAAGGTTAAACACACCATATTTTCTCTGATATGAGTAATTCAAAGTACAAACAATTTAAAGAACAAAATAAAAGACAACAGGAAAGAGGGATAGGAAGGGAAGAAAAAAAACATATATATATATATATATATATATATATATATATATATATATATGTATATGTACCAAATCCCCATGATGAATATGTTCACACATTTTACAAACATGTACTAATAAAAAGAAGGAAAAACAGACATATATCAAAAGAATCAAGTATCTCTGTTATGATACCATTAGGCATGTTTTGTTTTTTTCTTTTTTTGGTAATGCAGATGGAACTCACAGCTTTCACACTGAGCTACAATCTCAGCCATCCCCCAGCTTTTTTTTTTTTAAGTTTTTATTTTCAGATAGAGTCTTGCTAAATTGCCAGGGTTGGGATCAAACTTTCAGTCCTCTTGCCTCACCCTTCTAGAGTACTGGGATTATAAACATCCACTACCGTGAATCTCATAGATTAAGCCAGGAAAGTAGAATACAAGGACAATTAAGTGAGTCAGACACATGTGGATAGAAACGAGTACACAGACGACAGCATTACATAATGAGGACTAGCCAGGTGCTTTTTATTCCTATTTTTTTATTCCATGTGTGCACATCAGTATGGTACTGTAAAAACAGAGTAGATTCCAAATGGTAGTAGAAGATTTACTGTCTACCGTATCTCCAGATTGTCAAACTCTTTTCATAATATCGATTAACTGAATGCCTGTGCTACTTAAAAACAAACCAAGCCAGGCATGATGGCTCACAACTATAGTTTATCATTATGGGAAGCTGAGGCAGGAGGATCTCAAGTTCTAGCTCAGCCTTAGCAACTTAGCAGTAACTTAGCAAGATTCTGTCTCAAAATAAAAACCAAAAGGAACTAGGGATATACCTTGGTGCGAAAGAATTGGATTCAAAGTCCAATACTAAAAAAAAATTCTTTGCAAATATTAAGCACCAATTTAATTTTATTTGTTCCTAAAGACATCTATTCTGAAGAGATAAAAAGTTATACCCTGATTTTCCGTATGTATAGATAAAAAATTTAAGTTCAGACTTACCTCCTTTAAAAGTAAAATACTGACAATACAAATGTCCTGATTTAAAACAAAACAAACCTTATAACCACAGAGGATTCTTAGAATGACAGATTATATTGACCTACCCATCTCAGATACGTAAGAAAATCGTCTGTCCCATGGCCTACTTACTATTCTAAAAATTGCCATGACTGACAATCAAACAGGACTCCCTTTCCAGGAGGCTAAATTTTTTTTTTTACTGGTACCAAGGATTGAACTCAACGGCTGCACACTTGTGAGGCAGGCGCTTATGAAGGAGGATAACTCTTAAAAGTGCAAAGTACCATAACACCCTTTGCTCTGTTTCAAATGTAGGAGGGATAAGCCTTTCATGTGATTTTTAAAGTAGTAAGTTCTCTTAAAACACTATCACTGACATTACATTCATTTTAATCAAGCATTGCAGAATATATAAATTCCATGCTATGTATATAATATAGAAATTGCTTTTATCCACCTTGTATTTATTTGTAATTTTTAAAGTTCTCACTGCAGTGTAACAAATGATGTGATATAAAAAATGTAACTGCACATTCCAAATAAATGATATAGAATTAGAATATATAAAAATACATTTTAGAAAGTAAGTTTTTCTTCTCAATCATTTACTTTTTCCCTTCTAATAGGAATTGATATAATAAAATAAATAAATGATTCAGAAATAAGTTGGAAGGCATTTAACCTTCTGTTTGTTTGCATGCTTACAAAAAAAAAAAAAGAAAGAAAGAAGAAAAACCACCCTAGGGTATTTTCTACAAAGAGAAAAACTGTCTTAAAATGTTGTTTATAAAGTGTTGTTCAAAAAATGCCTTCTCTATAAAAAAGCAGTATAATTTCTGTGATTTTCTGCTTATACATGTCACATATGTACCTGCATTATGAGCAACGTATTTACTCCCTTTATCCTCTTTATCTTACCTTTACTAACAGCGTAATCTTGCATGCTGATCCAAAGGCTACGGGCTGGCTCTTTAAAACAACCCAATGCCAAGTCTACATAGACAACAATTTCAGGCCACAATTTATAATCAAAAGGCTTCCGTTCTTCATTTCCAGAAAGAGCTACTTCTAACAGGCAACTCATACATTTATCTAAACAACAAATTCATATTAATGATTTCAAACCTCATACATTTTAGTGCAACACATAAAATCTTGCCATGTTTATTTAATACATGTAAAATTATATTTCAAGTCCTTTGCAGTACCAAGGTAAAGTCCTTTCATGTTTTTCAGTTAGAGGTAGATTCACTGTTCTTATTCCCAACAGAAGGATATGACACTCAGGGGAAGCTCTTGCACCTTGATGGGTAGAGGCCAGGGATGCGGAATGTCCAACCTGTGCAGCACAGTCCTGCATAACTAAAAAGTGCTGCTCCAAATGAAATGATATCCTCTTTGAGAAACATGTTAGGTTAGACAGGATTTTCTTTTTTCTCTAGACTTAAAGGAAAATAAAGAATGGTCCAAGAAAGACAGAAGATGCCATGAATACTTCCCTAGTTGATGATTACATTTCTACAGGCAGCTCTCTCTCAAGTTTTCAAAAAGGTATTTGGCATTCAAAGTTCACTTTCACATTTTAAAAAACAAAATGCTCTAATTGGTGCTTTGACAACTATTAAAATTCATACTGACCCAGAATATAATTGAATTATTATATACTTACAATTTCATAAGACAATACCATGTTTCTTTATAAGCTTTTAAACCACATATCTATTTAATGGTTTTATGATTTTATAATTTAAAAACTGAAAACATTAAAAACAGTTGACTTTATTCATTTTAAGTCTAGTTATTTGAATGAAGTAAATATAGCAGGAATACAGGGAAGATAGACACAGACACGTTTTCCCTTGGGAGATCATTTGGAAGGTAAAGAGGTAAAAATTGAGGGCACTAGAATTCTTTTTAGCACACAAAGTGTCTCTTGGTAATTTCAAGATATTGCTTTCTTTGATTTAACAGAAACATCTGTCTAGCATTCCATTGGCCATGGCCAAAATCACTTAGGGTGAATCACTTAGGATGAATGTATGCTTATATTTGCAAAAGGAAAAAAATCTTCAACTTTCCTTTGCTCTTTGAACCCCCAAAGCAGATTCTTCTCATTTTGTCTTGGTCCCTCTCCCCACTCTTCTCTGTCTGTCTGTCTGTCTGTCTGTCTGTCTCTCTCTCTCTCTCTCTAGTCTTTGAGACAGTGTCTTGTTGTGCAGTTTGGCCTGGCCTCGAGCTCCATTTTGTAGCCCAGGCTGGTTTCAAATTTGCAACAATCCTCCTCCCTCAGCCTCTCAAATGCAGATTACTGCTGTGAACCAACACGCCTTTTTTTTTCTTCTTCTTCTTCTTTTCTCTCACTTCCTCCTATTTCTGTTTCTTTCCCTCTCCCCTGTTCTTGCTCTTACTTTCTTCTGCTGACACTCTTTGGGTCTCCTCCTCTTATCAGAGAAATAATGAATTTTAGATCTAATTATACCATATGTATTCTGACTTACAATTTCAAAGAATCAAAATTAAAAGACCAGAGAGATTAAAGGACCATTCTCAAATAAATAAAGGTCATCTGTTGGGGAACAGGGTAAGTCCTCATGTTTGATCTGACAAGTAGCCTGCCAATAAAGTAGAGAAATGCAAGCTGAGGCAGAAAAGACAAACCTCAAAGACACTACAAACGAGGGGGGTGTGGGGAGACTATCACTCCTGCACACTGTTAAATCACGACACCTACTCCTACAGTGCTTTACTCTATATGAAGCAGTTTTATGAAAAACACAACTAATCAAGCATTTCTCTATTTTGTAAGTTAGACTTGCTCAAAAACACAAGTAGTAAGTGATAAAATACAAAACAGTGAGATCAGATCTACACTTTGAGGGGAAGGATACTCTTTTCACTACACCACTATGTAGGACTTTATTGCTTTATTCTGTGGTCTTCCCTAAAATGATCAATTTTGCAATCATCCATCAGTTAGTTCTTTCTTCAGCAAACTCAGAATATGAAAAAAATGGAAGTACAAATAAGCATGCATTTTAAATGCTGTAGAGAAGCCTATTACCTAGCTGAGGAGTGTCCATTTCGACTCCATCACTGAAAAGTGGTGTTTTCATCCAATAAGCAGTATCCTGTTCCTCTGGAGACACAGGGGAACCCTGAAGCACACCGCCAGGACACCACCCGCCACATAAGGAGAGCAATTGTTCTTTCCAGGTCCACAAGCCACACCCAAGACTGAGCGGGCTGAGGTAATGGAACACCAGCAGGATCGATTACTTCTGGCCCTCCTAAAGACAAATCATTAGTGGGCATATCTTCACTTGGCAGTTTTAAGAGCCAAAGTTTTCTCATGGCTTTACTCTATCGCACTGCAATAAATTACTGAAGTAACCTAATTTTACCATGAAAACATAGAATTATGATTCAGTGTGTCAACTTGAGAAGGAAAGAGATTTAACAAGTAACTCAGCAGTTCTACATCCTAGAGGACATACCCTTACCACTACAGGATGTTATTCACTGTGTCAACTTGAAAAGTTTAGAAGTTTAACTAAATGACTCAGCAGGGGACCAGGGACCTCACTTTGCAATCATTTTGAACCTGCGCAAGAGGACACCATGGAGATAGTGTGAGTGCAACACCCACCCAAAGATGGATAGCCTATTTACAAAGTAAGGGAAGAAAAGAGGCTTATTCTCCCATTTTTTGCTCTTGTTGCTTTTACTGTCTTCTGCTGCCTTGAAGTGTTACCCCAGTGCCATGCCACCCGGCCTTAGAGCCAGCTGATTATGCACTAAAACCTTCAAAAACTGTGAGTTAAATAAACTCTTCCTTCTTTAAGCATTGGGTATGTTATCTCAGCAATGAGAGAAAAGTAACCAAGACACATAAAATGCTTTTTATATATATTCTCTGGTATACAAGCTAAATTAAAACAGAGAAGTACTACTAAATATAAACTTCCTGTATGAAACTCCTAACTTTAAGATAAACAATGAAATATTCTGCAGGAAGAATAAGGAAGCTTATTCAAGACAAATTAGGTAAATAAATTTGGCTTAAATATATTCTCATGGCTACACTATGTCTGTTAAAATTAGATTAATAATTGTTTTCCTAGCCATTACACGATTTTCCAATAGGGAAATTAATGTTTCTTTGGTTGGGTTCGGCAGTATGCCAAAAGCATTAACAAAGATACACAGTTGATTTATAGATAACTGCCCACTTCTAGTGTGTCTGGGCTACCATGGTGGGTATCACCTTAACAGGGAGATGATTGGATAAAGCTTCACAATTTTACAGGACTGCAACAAAGCACAGGAACAACTTTAAAGCTTGCAACCAGGTCTAATGTCACTCAGTGACCAGCTTTGTTCTATCTTGTCTACCTTCCCTCTACTACCTTGTCTTCTTCTTCTACCTTCCCTACTTTCCTCCTCTTTCCATTTCCTTACTGTGGTCCTCTTTCTATCATCATATTGCCTTTTTAAAAACTGAAACCATATTATTTAAAAAATAAAGCTAGGGATATAGCTTAGCAGCATAAGTGCCTGCCTGGCAAGCACAAGGTCATGAGTTCAATTCCCAGTACCTCCCCACCACAAAAAGAAAGAAAGAAAGAACTTTTACATGGAATCCAGTAATGCACTGATGATTAAATGGACCATTATCTTTGAGTACCTCTAAGGTAAAATGATGCTAAATTATGATACAAGGCTTTCCTATTATACATCGTAAGATGTATCTCAATTTTTCCTATGTCAAAATTTGAAGAAAAAGGGGCTGGGGATTTAGCTCAGCGGCATAAGCACCTGCCTTGCAAGCAGACAGTCGTGAGTTTGATCCCTGGTACCGATAAAAAGGAAAAAGGCCAAAAAAAAAAAAATTGAAGAAAAAAAGGTCTAGTGCCAGTAAAATACAGAATCCTAACCTAATGACAATAAGGATACTTTTTATGACTTTTATTTATACATAAGCATCTTTCTTCAGAGTCCCATGTCACTTACCTAATTTAGACCATAAACTTTTAGAAGACAGTATTTTTTTTTTATCGGTACCGGCGATTGAACTCACAACCACCTGCTTGCAAGGCAGGTGCTTATACCACTGAGCTAAATCCCCAGCCAGAAGATAATCTTTTGATTACACAAAACACCCATAATCAGACATGATTTGAGCTGATGCACACAAGAGGAGTATCTCCTCAAAAGCACTATTTACCCTTTTTCTACCTTTACTTACCATGAAGAGGCCACTGTAACTCTTGGTCTTCTAGAAGAGCAGCAGCTAGCAGGAGTCTATTAAGGCAATCAAGAGGTGGCAAGAGATCCAGGAGGTAACTCAACAGGGGACGAGCCACTGACACTGGGAGTAACAGTAGGGCGTTAACAATCTGGCAGAGCACACTGCCTGCAGCTGAGACGTGTATCACATCTATAAGGGGCAAGAAATGCAACATAAACAACTATTTCAAACAAAAATAAATGGAAGAAAAACTACTTTGGTTTGGAACAAAGTAGACTAAGCTGAAAACTCTTTATTGAACATTCCCTGCTAGCTGGTACTGTTGTACTCTAAGAAAATACCTTCATTATTTTGTGTATTATAGCAAACCTGCAACGTGGCTTACTAAATCTGTTTTTTTATTCTTTTTCCCTAACTGATATGTTAAGTGACCTAATTGATATGTAAAGAATTGCAAGAATCTTACCTAATTGATATGTTAACCATTGTTGCCCTCTACAAACTACAGAAGTTGTGCTAAAACAAGCTAACAAGGGTTGTTAATCACTTTTAGGCGCCTCTATTCTCCACTAAAGAGCTAAGATATCAAATCTTTGTAAAACTTAAGTTTCAGCTTCTTGTAACTCTTGACCCCTTCGCACCCACTAGCGAAAACGAGCTATCCTGGGATAATTAACTCTCTACTTTCTTCTCCAAATATTGCTGCAGATGTGCCACTCTGAGATAATGTCAGTCTGTAGGATGGGAGTAATTTGAGAAACACCAGGAACTCCTGAGATTGTCAGAGCTAAGTGGACAGCAATACAGTTTCCAGACTCAGGTCAACAAGTTTGATGGCTCTGCAGGTTTCTTTGTTTCTCCCCCCGCTTTTTCCTCCAGCCTCTTTTTAAAGTCCTCCCTTCAGTCTCTGGGACACAGTCTCCAAATTGACTCCTGGAGACTCGTCGCCAGACTTTGCTACCTAAATTTTCTGTCTCTTGCTTCCTTGGATTTTATACCGGCGCCCAAGTTGTAACAGTACCGTACTAACTTCTGTACACTAGCAAAAAGAGCTTTGTTATATTTGTATTATACCAAAATACCTGTAACGAGGCCTTACTGTTCTGTAGGCGGTTTTCCCCCACTCCGGGTGACCTAATTGATATGTTAATCAATGCTCTCCTCTGTAAAGAATTGTGAGTCCCTGGGAACCAAATCTAGTTGATATGTTAACCATTGTTGCCCTCTATAAATAACAGATGTGGTGCTAAAATAAGCTAACAAAAGATTGTTAATTACTGCTAGACTAAAATATTTCCTTAGCAGATTTCCTGATCCACGCCCATAACCTCTTACTTTGTAAACTGTGATATATACATAAAGGCTGCAAGCTTTTGAGGGCAACACACAGCTTTTGCAATCTGCAACTGCACTGTGTCACTGGGCCCAGGATAAAATAAATCAGCGCTGCTTTTTAAAATATGTTTTTGCCTCATTTTAAACTCGAGTTTGGGGGCTGGTTTGTGGATTACAAGACTAATATTTATTCACTTTCAGAATGTACCACCAATAGACACTTTGTAGGAAAGCATACCTGTCTTTCATGCCAATCAATTCAAAAGGTTATAATTGTTTGAATATACATTATGAATTTCTCATTCATTTGGAAATTGACTGAAACATTTATTGAGTTACCTGCAAGATCAAGCACCACTCTAGGCAAAGATGATATATAGCCATAACCAAAGCAGCCAAAACTTTCTGCCCTTGTGGTTACTTTGTAGTTTTAGAAACTTTTTAAGTATTTTTGAAATGTTTTTATTACAGGCAGAGATTTTAAATCACATTTGTTTAAATGTTTTATTGTATTTAGGACTGAAAGGAGCATTCAAAATGAGTTCAGTGTGAAGATGCTTAATTTTAGTTCCTTGTGGAACAACCACATGGAGATATCTAATCAGAAGTGGTTTCAGTTCTTCAGCTCATTTATTTCTTTCCTTAGCTGGGAAACTTCAGAGATGAGATGGTTTGATACAGACATGCTGGATTTTAGTTAGGCAAAAGTTCTAGTGCTCAGGAAAGGAATTCTCACATTGGAGTCAGTAACACCCATGGTGGTTAAAGGACTCTGAGATTAGATAAAACCATTCAGAAAGGAAAAGAGGGCTGAAAACAGATTCACAGGATCCTTGACATGAAAGGCACTGTTGAAGCAAAAGGGGCCTATCAGAGCTCATGGAAAAATAGTGGTCAGAGAGATGAAATAAAAAGGACTGTGATCACACAGAAGATATGGAACAAAGCTTTCCAGAAGGAAAAATCGACACTGGCAAGCGCTTGAGCAAGATAAAGAAACAGAAGAAAATAATAACACATTATACCATTTGAAACTAATCTTTTGGATTTTACACCATCCATTGCCTATAAATTAAGCCTTTATGATGTCAGTTAGACTCTTCTAGTGCTATCATTACCCCAAACCAAGATTAAAGAAATATTCAATAAAAAGATTCAAGACAATTCTTCTTGTACTCAGAGGCTGCAGACCCTCAAGGGTTAATAATTATTACTTTTAAACTACTCATTAGATGGCAATTCAACACCAAACAAACCTCTTAATTTTTCTCCAACACTGCCATTCCAAGGACTTTCTTTGAGCAGATTTGCAGAACGGGAGTAAATATCTGTGGCATGAGGCAACAAGAGCTGCAGATGTTTATGAAGCAATGCCACACTGCTTGAGTTCTAAGGAGAAAAAAGTTCCTTAATTATTATGGTAAAATACTCAAGGTATGAAATTATGGCACACCCAAATACACAAGTTTCAAGGTCCTGATAGATGTCCATAAAAAACAAAGAATCACATACCTCGCTAATGTTATTAATATGGCAAAATGCCAGTAGCCGTTTCTGTAATGAACACAGCAGTTCATGAAGATGAGCAGGCTGACTGTTCTCTGATGATGATGTTCCAAGTAGAAATTTATCACTATTCTTTTCTAGCTCTCCAAATGCTTGATCCTAAAATGACATGTTAAAGATTATATTTGAAAGACTTCCAAATGAAAGTAATGTCTATCATGAAAGATTCTGATTTAAAAGGTATTATGTTCTTTCTCCCATTACCAATTTCTTTTCCCCAGCTCTGGGATTGAACCCAGGGCCTTTGTATGAAGCTACAAGTACTTTTCAAGCCCTTTTAAATATTTCACTTTGTGACAAAGGTCTACCTCAACTGGGCATGCTAGGCTTGGACTTGCAATCTTCCTGGCCCAGGACACTGGAAGTGCTGAGATTACAGGTATATGCAACATACCTGCCTCAATTATCAATGTTTTGATCTTTGCTATAATTCTTGTAATAAACTAGTAGAAAGAAAAGTTTTGATTTGTTTTTTCAATTTAAGAAGTAACATACACTTAACTCTAACATCTTTGAAAATATAGAAAACAAGAAAAAAGAGTGAGCAACTAATCAAAGCAACACATATTGGGGTGAGGGATGCAGCTCAGCAGTACGAACACCTTCCTGGTAAGCACAAAATCTTGAGTTCAATTCCTGGTACAAAAAAAAAATAGAAAGAAAGAAAAAGAAAAAGACAACATATAAAACATTTTTAAGCTATTCCTTTTCAGATCTTCTGTGTAAAGGTTTTATTTCCACATGCTTATAGATTTCTAAGAACATAGAGGGGTTGGGGATTTAGCTCAGCGGCATAAGTACCTGCCTTGCAAGTGCGCAGTCATGAGTTCGATCCCTGGCACCGATTTAAAAAAAAAGGCCGGATGTGGTGGCACATGCCTATAATCCCAGCACTCAAGACTACACAGTGAGTTCAAAGCCAGCCTGCACTATGTAGTGAGACCCTGTTTCAAAAACAAAAATAAAAACTGAAACAAAAAGTAAATAAATGGACTAAAGAAACATGACAACTAAAAAAGTTGTACTACAGACTAAATTTCAAGGCTAATTTCTGGCTGTGGCACTCAGGGCTCAAAATAAAATATATGGTCAAAGAAAAATCTAAAACCTGAGGCTCTCCAGGACCATGCTTAAGGTGCAGCACGAAAGGGCACTGGGCACAAGATTGCCCTGACCCATGGCCACCACTGGGATCCTGTCCCATCTGCAAACAAGAGGGTCACTGCAAGTACAACTGCTCTGTCCACCAGAAAGCAGGTAAGTCATCAAACTCTCTACCCTTATAGGAGATTATGTCACCACTGACACTGAACTCATCGCTCAATAACCTGCTCAGTTTTGTCACTGAAGAGGACTGAGGGGGCTGAGGGCCCATGGCCCCAACCAAGGTATCTCTCTCAGAGCCCTAAGTCTTGCTGGATAGCTCAGGTAAAACCTTCTCTTTTCTTGCCAACAGGGGGACCACCTACAGTGTTTTACCTGCATTCTCAGGCTGATGTACCTGGTCTACAGTCTCCATTATGGGGGCTGACAGCCAACCTACACAACCTCTCCAGACAGAACCTACCCCTTGCAGATTCCAAACCCTTTTCTTTATACAAAACTTTTTGTCATCCCAACTTGTTCTGTACCCCTTTTAAGCAGAGATCTCTCCAAAAGCTCAATTTCTCTTATACTTTCTCTCTCCCTTTGGCTCTCAACTGAACCAAAAAACCTAACAACTAAATACAATATGTGATTCTGGACCAAATACTGACCTGGGAGGGAAATTGCTATAGAAGATACTGCTAGGACAATTATTAACAGTTTACTCCTACCATCACTGGAGCAGCACATTTGTCTCTACACTATCCTGAACGCTGCTCACACAGGTGTCATTTGAACCAGTCAATTCCTATCTTATAAAAATTAACCAAAAAATGCACTGTATGACCATGCTATATTTAAATAATTGGGCTGTGTTTTAATTTTAGCTGAAATTCAAACACAGGCTATACATTAGGTAATGGCTCAATTACCCTAAGAAAATAATCACTAGTATTTTTTGGTCTGTTTCATGTTTACATAAAACTGCATAGTCTATTTTTAGCCTGTTCCTTTCCAACAGAATTACAAATCTTTCTATATTGTTCGCTCTCTTTTGGGGGAGGCAGGGTACTGGGGATTGAACTCAGGGTCTTGTGCATGCTAAGCAAGCACTCTTCCACTGAGCTATATGCCCAGACTCATTATTTATTGATTTATTTATTTTGGGCCAACATTTCTACAAACCACATGTGTATAAAATTTAAGTTATAAGATTCTATTGACCACATATATCATTACTTACTGAACCATTCCTCTATTTAAGTATTTCCATTTTTCTAAATTTTATTATCAATAACTTGAATATTTTTACCCCATAGTCTAGGTTTACAGTATGACTATGAGAACATTTTAAGGCCTTTGCTTATAAACTGACAATAGCATTATTATTTTTAAAGTCTTAAAACATAACAAATTGGTTTAAATTGTATTTTAGATAAACAATAATTTACAATTTTAATTCAAAAGTGACTAATATTTTATCTCCTTTTCCATAAAGCATTCACATTTAACTCACATTTAACCTAATCATATATGAAAACAACTGCTTTAATATAGCAAACAGCCTCTGTAGAAGTCTGGGAAAAAATTTCAGTCATTAACAAATGCACAAACTATTAACATCACCCCTGTCCAATTTGTAGCCATTACTTCCTAAAAATACCAAACATCACATGCAATTCACATTCCTAGGCAAAAAAGAGAATAATTCTGCAGGAACAATTTTCAGACCTAGTCAATGGCCTTTTTCTGTGGGCAGAACATAGCACTAGACTTATACAAGGAAAAAACAATATACAAACCTAGTCCTATAGAAGACAACATGAAATTATATACAAATGATTTGAAGTTAAGCCACTTATCCCAAAAGTGCTTAGCAATATAGGTGTATGCTACTATAATCAATCACATGGTTAGATGAACAAGGCTCCCTAAAATGGCAAACCTTAAAGAAGTCAGATTGGTAAAGAAGAACAATCAGGACACAAGTGTACCATATACAAATGGAAAAGATACACCAGTAAGAAAGGTACTGACAAGAATGGTGCATGAGCCAATGATGAAAGATGACTGAAGGGCTTTTTAATACAGAGAGATTATTCTAGCAATAAAATCCTGAAAAGAAAGCAGCAATACTGACAACAGCTACAACACAGTTATTAATGTTGGATCAATAATGACTAAGCTTGATCTAAAATAGCTACTTGTGGGGGAGAGGGATGGATTTAAGAAACAGAAAGAAGGAATTAATGGCACTCTCATATACATAGTGTGATGGGACCTACTGTTTCCTCTTCTACTAACCAGTCGATTCTTAGTACAACTGAATTATAACATTGTATCCCCTTGTTCATTATTTTCTTTAAATTTTTTGACAGTTTTTATCTGCTTATTGTTTGTTAACATGAAAAAGGCTGGTAAAATTCTAACATTAATCTCTCTGTAATTCTCAAATACATTTCACTGAGGCCTCATAATATTTCATGAGACCTGATTCATGTCTCCCTTTGGGGAAATGGGAAGGTTATATTTTAAGTTTTTAAAGGTCAAAATACCTTAACATGAGGAGATATTACTTTATTTATTTATTTTACTGCAATGAAAAAGCAACTTACTGTATAAAATCCTAAATTTCTTAGGAGAGTTTTCATCAAAGTCTCAGCCAGATGGGTGTCGGGATGGCAGCTCTGAGTGCCATAGGGCTGATCTGACAGGTTTCCATAGCCAGTGCACACAGCAGAGAGGTCAGTGGCATCAGAGGGCGAGCTATAGCCAAGTAGGGAGGCGACATGTGTATGATCCTGCAAACTTGTCAGAATGATGTCCAGTTGCATTCTCTAAAGAGCAATGAAACAGGAATACATGGATAGCTTACAACATACTGATGAGAAAGAAAAAGGATCTAGGAAAATATACTAATTATGCTAACTAATCTATGTAATAACCTGATTAAACAATAATCTGCAGGAAGTATATAATTATAAGAAAAACTATCCAATTAATACTATTTAGAAAAATATAATGGCTTAGTGTATCCTTCTTATAATACTTAAAACTCTTAGCTAAAGTGGCATACTGTGCATCATAATTTAAGTACTACAAATAGGAATAGGAAATGCCAACAGACAAATTATAAGTGTTATTTTAAAGGGTTTCCAATGACTACTTATTTAAATGTTTAAAATAAATCATCTGAAACTTAAACTAATACAAAATACTCACTGGAAACCATCTGTGGATATCTATTGTAAGTACCATTTTTCCTCAAATCTGTATCTCTAGATTTGATTCTTTTTTTTTTCCTGTCTTTTTGAGATAGGGTTTCACTGTGTAGTTCAGGCTGGCCTTGAACTCACTTTGTAGCCCAGATTGCCCTCGAATTCCCAGTGACCTGCCTGTCTCAGCCATCCGAATGCTGGGAACACAGGCATGTGTCACCACACCTGGCCATTCTAAATTTGATTCTGTTTGGTACAGCAAAATATACTTATTTCAATATACCTAAGAGAAGTGAAAAATAAGAATATTTATATCCTTAAATACTTTTCCTTAATGGTCATCTTTCGCTTTTTAGATAAACAATTGCATTCAAAGTCTGTCAATGGAACCAACAGCAGTAGCACATAGCTTTGGTTTTAATTCAACAAACTAAAAATAAACCAAAGAATCAGAGGGATGACACAGCAATCAACAGTGGGGAAATCAGTTGTTATTTTAGTAATTAGTCCCAAATAATTTATTATTTGCTTTACCTGTAATCACTAAACATCTGCAATTCTTCCAACATATAACATTAAACAACCAGATACATCAAGTATTGCCCCATGAACACATGGCAGTTGATCAGCTTATTTTCCTCTCACTCCAATGTCTTATGATACAACCAGTTTACTTAGATGCCACACAAAGGCTTACCTGTCCTTTAGATAAGCTTTCCCATCTATCAGGCCTTTGGGGTAAAAGAGAATGAAGTAACTCCATCCATTCTCTCAATGGAGGTAATAGCATGGTTGCTCCTACTGACAGAGTTTCAATTACCACTTAATATCGAAAAAGAAAACAATATTCATTTAATGAATGAATACTGTTTATCCCTTAAATAAAAAAACACATGAAAAGTGAATCTATTATTATCATGAAAGTCTAAAGAAGGTAGCATGTGGGGAAAAAAAAACATGCAAATCCTTCTCTAGATATCTTTAAAAAGTCGAGAATACAAACTCTGAATTTGTTACAACATAATCATCACCCAACAAATATTTAAGGTTCAGTTTACAGTGCTGGGTAAAGAAAGAACTGTGCAAAGTGATACAGAAGAGTAAGGTCCCATTTTCATAAGAATATAATCTGATGGGGCAGGGCTTGAACAAGTAATTGTGAAAAGAGTCACACAAGAAAAGTTACAAAGCAGTGAGAATTTCTGTGAACACATATATGAAGGAGGTGCAAGCAGCATGGCCCACAGCTCCTGAAGGTCATTAGGTATTTAAAAATCACGGTTACCAGTCTTAGTCACATAAAGATCCAGGCAGAGAGAATAGTATAAGAAATAGCTAGCTTCACTATCTTAACCTCTATAGGTCATGATTTCTTCATTAACAAAATCAGAGTGTCAGTCTAGATAAACACTAAAGGGCTTTTTAATTTTCGTAACTTCTCTATTAGTCAATGTTTCTGCTTACTTGGATTATATAATATAATGATAAAAACTCAATTGCACAATAACGGTAATTCTTCTAATAGAAAACATTGCTCTCCAAAGGCTAAGAATTGGAAGAACCTTTAAAGATTTCCTCTGGTTACTATAATCAAACTAAACTCTAGCTACAGAAATTCAACAAAGGTGAATAGGATTAAGGAACAAATAAATGTATTCTATTTCCAAAAGCGCTTTTAAAAGGACAGATGGAGGGGCTGGGGATTTAGCTCAGTGGCATAAGCATCTGCCTTGCAAGCAGGTAGTCATGAGTTCGATCCCCAGTACTGATAAAAAGGAAAAAAAAAAGAAAAGGACAGAAGGCAGAAGAGAGCTTCATACAAAAAGATCAAAAATGAAAAAAGTGGTAAGGGGAAACAGCATCAAAACTTTGGAACAGCGGCTGGGGATTTAGCTCAGCAGCATAAGCGCCTGCCTTGCAAGTGTGCGGTCGTGAGTTCCTGGTACAGAAAAAAACAAAACAACAACAACAACAACAAAAAAAAACAACTTTGAAACCAGAAAGCAACAAGTGTTTAACTGACTTAGAGCTGAAAAGGTTGTATCCTAAGTTTAAAAACTGATAATCAAAAAGTACTTTCATCCATTCTATAGAATTCCTAGAAGCTCAGGTATTTTTGCAACAGTAGGTAAGAGAGGGGCTTAAAACCAAAGAATTAGCTAAAAACTGGGTGAGATAAGGAGCACACTTGAGGGTAGTAATACAGAACTGAGTGCAGAGGAATTCATAAGATACATTGCTCAGTCTGAGTACTGAGGCATCTGAGCTCTTCTGCTCACCACAGAACTGTGGTCCAACTCTACACCTCTGGCAGGAGATAAGAAGAGCCTTCCTATGGGGAATCTGAGTCATTCCCCACTGCCTGTTCATCCATCCACAGCAAGGTTGATAAAATCTATTCAGGTGCAGAGGACTTTCAACAGCCGTTAGAGTCACACTCTTAAACACAACTAGACAGCCAAAATTCATTAAAAACACAAGAAAAACCTGTCATGGGAAAGACAGACTAAAACTAATAGTCTAATTTGTTTTTGTTTAAAGCAACTACATAGAAAAATAAGAAAAAAATATTATATTAAAAAATACAAAATCAGAACAAGAGGCTACAAAAATAAGGGAATACTTGCAGGATAAAGAAAAGCCTTTTACATTCTAAAAATAAAAGAAACATTTTAAATTTCAATGGAATGATTAAAATGTAACACTAAATTTCTCATGAAAGTAGAAGGGGGAAATGGAAAACAAACAAAGATTATTTTTAGTTTGCTGTTTGTTATGTTAAACTCACACTATCCCATTTCTGATAAATACTGAATTGTTACAGTTCCTTTTCACCCCAACCCCAATGTTACTCTCTTCCTGATCCAAGAGGATATGTTCTAGTAGAAAAATCACTATTGTATTATTCCTTTATTTAAAAAACTGACAGATAATCTATGTGCCATAAAATTCACCTTCTGACAGTACAAAATTCAGTGGTTTTTTTTTAACCACATTTATAGAGTTACTCATAATTCGGAACATTTTCATCATCCCAAAAACAAACTATGCCCCTTCACAGTCATTCTCTATTCTTACCAAGTCTCTGACAACTACTAATCTATTTCCTTTCTCTACACATTTGCTATCTCCACAAATTTTAAACTTTGAGGAGTTAAAAATATGAAGCCTTCTGCATCAGTTTCCTTCACTTACATAATGTTCATAAGGGTCAGTCATATTGTAATGCCTATCAACACTCCATTTCTTTTTATAGAAATGTAACATTTCAGTAATGTTACATTATATAAATACACCACACTTGGCTTAGCAGCCAGCACACATTTGTATCATTCCTTTTTTTCCTCAGTGCTAAAGGTTATCAGTTGAACCTAGGATCTCACACCTTCTAGGCAAGTACTCCACTGAGCTTCTCCACCAGTTCTTTTTTTGTTTTGATACAGTCTCATCAAGTTGCTCAGGCAGAGGCCACCACCCTCAGCTGTCCCCACTCTTTGGCTGCTATGAATAACACCTCTATCAGTATTTCCACACCAACTTTTACAGAGACATATGTTTTCAATTCTCTTGGGTACAGATCATACGGGTCATATGGTAACTATATTTAAGGAACTGGATAGCAGAGACATCCTTTTTTTTAAAATTTTATTTAAAAGGAAAAAGAGAAAAACACAAAACAAAACAAAGCGGTGTAAGGGTACACGTAATACAGAACTACAAAAAAAAAAGTAAGAAATCACCAGTTAATAGATTACATATTATCATCTTAGAAATAGTTGCTCAAATCACAGTATCAAAGAATACAAAGTGGACATTCAAACAGTGAGACTGCAAACAGTTGTGTTCAATGATCCAACCAAAAACATTAATATGCTCAGCTATTTAACACCCCTAAACACACTTGCTGTTGTATCCTTTAAAGCTCTTTTTTTTCCCTCTCTTTTTTACAACAAAATTTATACATTTTGGGTTTTATTACTCCTTAGTTCTTATTACTTTTTTGGGGGGGAGAGAATAAAGTCAAATATGGCAAACCAAAGCTGTCAGTCAAAACCAAGGATAGACATAGCACATGATGTAAAACAGAGTACAAGGTTATCAACAATGGTTATCAACGATGTCTCTTGTTTCCTTAAAAAGAATTGTCTATCTCATTAAATATTATAAAGTTGAACAAAACAGTAGAGAACAAGACCAATAAAATTTAGGCATTGTAAACATTACAGTACTTCCAAAGGAGACAATAGTCAAACCAGAATGGGCATCTTAGTGAATCTTATTGCCTACAAAGTAGTTGCCTATACACTCAAACTTGATACTATCATACAGAATGGAACAGAGTCTAATCAGTCAAAACAAGATCATGGGAGTATTACAGGACTTCAAAACAAGTTAACAGGAAATCAAAAAAAGTTACTATTATACCTCCTGCTAATTTTTTAAAATTTTCCCCTTAATTAAAACAAACATAAGAAATAACTAAATAATTTTTTTAAAGAATAAGGGAGAGATTGAGATAAAACAGGACATAACAATATAACAATACAGGTCAAAGCATGACTGTTTCAGCAACCTAGTGCTTCACCACCAAATAACCCAACTTAATAGTAGTTACCATAGTGTCTGTCTTTTTTCTTGAAATATTTGAATAAAACTTCATATACTATAGCTTCAAATATTTCCATATCAAGAAGCCCAGAAAAAAGCCTTTCCAATTAATAAGTGAAAACTTTATAAGGCTTCAAGGCCACATAATGGGGAATCATGATTACCACATATTTTTATATATTTGAATCATTACTTACATTAGGGAAACTATTCGGTATTCACACATGCGAGATTGATTTATTTCACTTATGAGTATGGTCTCAAGCTGTGCCCATTTATTGATAAATATCTCAACGTGATCCTTCTTTATAGCTGAATAATACTCCATTGTATAGAAATACCACAACTTTTTTATCCATTCCTCAGTTGATGGACACCTGGGTTGTTTCCAAGATCTGGCAATTACAAATTGTGCTGCTATAAACATAGGTGCACATATATCACTGTGGTATGATGCATTCAGTTCTTCTGGGAATATGCCTAGAAGTGGAATAGCTGGAGTAAATGGGATTTCCAATCCCAACTTTTTGAGAAATCTCCAGACAGACCTCCACAAAGGCTGTACCAGTCTACACTCCCACCAGCAGTGCAGGAGAGTTCCTTTTTCCCCACAGCTTCTCCAGCATTTGTTGTTGTTGGTTTTCTTGATCCTGGCCATTCTTTCAGGAGTGAGATGGTATTTCAGTGTGGTTTTAATTTGCATTTCTCTAATGACCAATGATGATGAACATTTTCATGTATTTATTTGCCATTTGCATTTCTTCATCTGAGAATTGCGTATTCATCTCAGATGCCCATTTTTGGATTGGATCTTTGAATTTTGGGGGTCTGAGTTTTTTTAATTGTTTATATGTTTTAGACAAGAGTCACTTGTCTGAGATAGAGTTCACTAAAATCTTTTCCCAGTTTGTGGGTTTTCTTTTCACTATGCGGGAGATTTCTTTTGACATGCAGAAACTTTTTAATAAGAAGTGGTCCCAGTTATTGATTCTGGGAAGTATTTCCTGTGCGGTTTGAATCCTGTTCATGAATTCTCTACCTACTCCTATGTCTTCAAGGTTTCTACCCAATTTGTCTTCCAATAGATTTAGTGTTTCTCTTTTAATATTCAGATCTTTGACCCATTTAGATTTTAATTTATTACATGGTGATAGACATGGGTCTAGCTTTAGTTTTCGGCAAATGGAGAGCCAGTTTTTCCAGCACC